TTCCCAGGATGCCCTAGTGCTGATGACACTAAGGGCACGTGTCTCTGCTGTGCTCCTGTCTGTCTGGCCACTTCAGAGAATTGCTCGCTTGGGGGCCTGGAGCCCATTTCTTTCATTGCATTTATTCGCCCAGGGACACACTGTCTTACTTTTTCTCTTTCGTCTTCTTTTGACCTTTCTTGTCTTTCCTCTTCTTCCTTCTCAGCCATCATCTCCTATCCTGGCTACAGATGCTTTTAATTCCTTGCACTTGTATCATATCCCTCACACACTCAGAACCCACTTATTTTCCAGATCTTAACTTAGTACCTTCCACGCACCAGGCATGGGGAAAACTAGGTTGAAAAAGACAAGTTCCGGAGCTCTGGGAGTATAATCAAGTAAGAAATATCTGTCATATTTCTTATGCTTCTTATAAAGTACAGAACACTCACATCCAGATAAAGCACTGTATTTCATCCCCAGAACAACCCTGTGAGGTAACTAAGGTGATTATTACCATCATTCAAAAAGGCAGTCTGATTTTTGTCTGATTTTTCCACCGTTGCTTTCTTTTTCCTCTGTGGTCCACAGCATGAAATCAAAGGGGCTTGCTGATCCTCCTTCCAAACGCATGTTCTGCCATCACCCTCATCTTTTCCAGGCATGAGTTATTTTCAGAACTTCACCACCTGTTCTCATGACTCTCCATGTTTGTTGTGTCATAAATAAAGATATATTGGAGTTCCCTCTCCACACTGTTCTCCACATAATCCAATACTTGTTTTTAAAGTACAAATATGGGTCTTTATTTGATATACAGTCCATAATAGTAAGCCTCTTCAAGTAAGATATAAATCACAGTACCTTATAAATCAAGTAAGTGCTTGATACTTGGGGGGGACCCCAAAACACCTGTAATTTACTTATTAAAAAGTGTGTATTTATTCCTACATGCTTAAGCGTCAGTCACCTTCAAAGTCCTCTCCGTTTGATGCAGTACACCTATCAAGATGCCTTTTCCACTGCTCAAAACTGTTTTGAACTCGTCAGTTTTGATACCTTTTAGTGCTTCTGCCATTTTTTGTTTCACCTCTTCCACATCGGAGAAACATTTCCTTTTGAGGACCTTTTTCATCCAGAGAAATGAAAACAAAAGTACACTCGGGGCGGGATCGGGTGAATAGGGAGGATGAAACATGGAGGGGGCATGCCATTTTTGGTCCAAACTGTTGAATACTCAGCACAGCGTGGGCAGGTGTGTTGTCATAGTGGAAGCACCAGTTACCTGTTTGCCACAACTCAGGATGTTTCCTCCCAAATTGTGATGCCGCTGTCTCAGAGCTTTCAGATAAAAACTTGACCATTTGATCCAGAGGAACAAATTCCAAGTGTACTATAAATGGTGCACCCTCCAAAAGATAATTTTGGGGTTTTGGGGTTCTCCCCTCATAGATTAGCTAAATTTAACAAGATTTAAAGAATTGTGTTTTTTTCTTCCAGCTTATGTTAATGAGTAATTCTTTTTACTTCCCAAATAACCTCAATGTTCTTATTGAATTTACCTTGTCTTCAGAAACCTTTTCTGCAGTTTGAATGTTCTTACCTTTCCTTATAGCTAATAGATGACACTAGACTATTTGATATCTTACTGAAATTAAATGAGGATATCCTGAATTTCTTTGTTTATATCTATAATCAAAATACTAAGTCACACAGAACCCAAATTTTGTCCTGTGGTTTCGACAGCTCCACATTATTATTATTATTAAAGCAGGATTTATTGAGAGGACAGAAAAGCTCTCACAGTGAGAGGGCATCCGACGGGGTTGCCCTCCACGTGATTGTTAAACCACTGGTTACCACTGGCCAGTCATGAGCCTGCAAGCAGCTGTTTGCAGCTGTCCAGCAGTGATCCAATCATCTGCCCTCTTTTTTTTTTTTTTTTTTTTTTGAGTAGATGTCTTGCTCTGTTTCCCAGACTGCACTCATGGCCACCGCAGCCTCGATCCGGGCTCGGGTGATCCTTCCACCTCAGTCTTTCAGGTGGCTGGAACTACAGGTGTGTGCCACCATGCCTACCTACCTGTTTTGATTTGTTGTAGAAATGAAGTCTCGCCAAGTTGTCCAGGTTGGTCTCGAACCCTGGACTCAGACAATCCTCTCACCACTGCCTCCCAAAGTACTGGGATGACAGACGTGAGCCACTGCACCTGGTTTCATATTTATGTTTAATCTATGGTCTGACATCAGAGTTTTAATGAAGATCAAGCAGCTTGTTTCATTTTTCTCTCAGCCTTATTACTCCATCAGGAAAAGAAATTTAGACAACTACAGCAAAGTTTCTCTTACATATATGTGGATAAGTCAGTTGTAAACTGTTTGCCTTTGGCTCTGATGATGGGCCTTTTAGATGAATTCCCAGTCAGCAGCAGCCATGGGGCCATACTTACCTCTGTCTGTTTTCTAAGTCTGTCGTCTTGTCACCAAGTCATGCTTGTTTGAACACATCAAGAAGAGAGTAATCTTAGGCTATGTGTTGCCTTTTTTGAGCATGTTTTTCCATCCATTATGTGACAGATACTGTTCTTTACAGTAGTTGATCACAGGTAACATAAATGAGAAAGCTGCTAACATTCCGCTTTGTGTCCTAGTTTCCTTCATGGCAAGAAGGTGTGTGTAGCCTGTATGACAGTCACTCTCATTTTGAGCAGTTATTTAGACTCTGAGTTATTCCTTTAAAATTCCCATCTCCCTATGGTCTGTTATTATCTGCCTTTCAATTTCTGCTGCTTCATTTCAGTTGCATTAAGCTGCATGCTACCCCTTCTCCATTCTGGCATCATTATAACTCTCAGTTGATGTATGTAAATAAAAAGAAACACAAACCCAGATAATGCCAAACTAATTTGTTTGACTTTGAATTTTCAGATGATTTTGCACCATATTTTCATTCCCACTTGGGTTTTATTTAAGCTGCTATTATGATCAGTTGACATTCCTTAAGCATGTACCAGCTTGCTAATGGAATGAGTGGGCAAACCTGAGGAAGCTGGGCAGGGATGGAAAATTGGCTGTAGATGATACAGGCATGGATCATTGGAAATTGATTGTGGTTTGTTCCTGTGCCCAGAAAACTATCAGCTTAATGATCCAGCTCTCTTGGTTTTCTTTCCATAGAACTTTATATTCTAATACAATTAATTTGTTTTACAAAGGAACTTTTACGATACCCAAAGAAACCAAGTAGAAAAACTAGTGGACCAAGACAGAGGTCTTAATAATTTATTAATTGTTCAAGTTTTGTATGAACTTAAATCACATATTCTCCTACTGTTTGCTTTTCCTATGTTTTATTTGCAGTTTATACTTGTTTCACCAGCTCATTAAAAACTATCCTGTTTCGCTCTCATTGATGTCTCATAGTCTTTGATAATGTAAGTATTGGCCTCTTTGATCATGTGCAATAGGAACTGGATTTGCTGTTTCCTCACCCAAGAATTCCTTAGTGAGAGTTCCAGAAGAAACAATAGAGGCTACAAAGTGACATATCCCCCCTGGAATTTTGAAGGTCATGATACTATTTCAAGGTCAGAATACATGATTGTTGTAGAAATCTAGAAATTATTGTTTTGCTGTTTGGAAATAAAGCCCTGCAAAGGGAGCTGTGCAGGAGCATTGTGGGTGGAAAGGCGCGAATGCTCAACATTCTTAGGACCCAGTGGGGACCAGTCCCCCGTCATGCCTTTCGCTTCTCCAGGCCCAGCCTGTCCCCAGGTCTCTCTTGATGAATGCAGGAACAGCGGCTCTCTGTTAGGCCTTTCTCTCCATTTATTTTATTTTTCGCCTTTTAATGGTAAGGAGAAAACAGTTTCTCCAGGGTTTCACGTGCAAGTGTTTGTAGGGAGGATGGTGTAATAGAAAGGTCAGATGACATTTGGCCTGGAAACATGGGTCAAGTTTTGTTTGTTTCGTTCCTCTTGTTTTCCTCCTTCTCCTGATTATCTGCTGTGTTACTCAGGGCAAGTTAGTCAATGTCTCTGAATATCACTTTCCTCATCTATAAACCGGTGGTAATAAGTGTGTTATCATGTTCAGATAGGATGGTACTTTGTAAACTTGAAGCTCTTAACATCAGTTGTTGTTAAATCAGTTACAGATACCTAACTTGGAGATACACCCCCCATAGGATGGGATGCTGTGCCCCACACTGGCTGTGGCCTGTGACTGGACCCCCTTACCAACCGGAAGACCAGCTGACCCTGTGCCACCCTCCTGGTGCCTGCCCCCCTCCTTTGGGAAACTCCCATCCCTGATGAATTCATTTCACCTCAGACAGTCTTTCTCATACATATGCCTTCTTTGCTCTTTGGTTGTACCTGAAAAGCAGAAGGCATCCTTAATCATGCCAGGTAAAGTGAATAACAGTGCTGGAGAGTTTCAAATGAAATCAAAACGAGAGACGAATTAAGACGAATCAGTGAAAAACTTCATAGTTCTGAAAGTCCATGGACTATGCCTTCAGGGTCTCTGCAAGAGTCTTAACTGAGTATCGTTTTCTGCAAATGTACAGCATTTCAAGTGTGTTCCAACTCAAATAAGCCTTTGTAGTTTAGTCCAGAAAGCTAGGCAGTCGTTTTAACAGTTTTTATGGGAAAATGCATTCTCGTTTATTTGTAATTGATACATATTTTGCTCATAACTGGGGAACTGCCCAAACAAGTTTTTTTTCCCAATGATGTGTGGCTGTTTCTTATGTCTGGAGGAGAGCACACAGTGGGTCTAAGTCTGATTGATGATCTGTTTTCCATTTAGAAACTACCATACTAATTTATGGGACGGGGAGAAGTGTATTTAGAATATCTGCACGCTTTCATTTTTTAACTTGCATCTATAAGGGTGAAAAGGGATCTCTGTTTTGGAGCTAAATAGGACACATTTTTCATGAACAAAGTATGAGACAAGGTCCCCAGATGATGTCAGCAGGCCATATTATTATTTTTAAGAGCCCCACACTGGCTATGGCACTGTGGCCTGTGACTGGGGCCCCTTACCAACCAGAAGAAGACCAGCTGACCCTGTGCCACCCTCCCAGTGCCTGCCCCTTCTTTGGGGATCTCCCATCCCTGCGGAATTCATTTCACCTCAGACAGTTAGAAGAAGGACGTGGATATCGGATGCACTTACTTCTTTGCAATACCGCAGACTGGGCTGGGAAACATTATCTGACTGAGCAAATCCAGGGCCAAGAAAGCGCCGGTCAGTAGGTAGACCGCAACTTCCGCTCTTCATGGACCTCGCTGGGCCCTCCCGGGCATCAGAAGACATCAGGCTGCTGAGTTAACTGAAAAGATGGTGGTGGCTCAGCCTGTAATCCTGCGCTTTGGGAGGCCAAGGTGAGTGGATTGCCTGAGCCTGTGGGTTCGAGACCCGCCTGGGCAACTTGGCGACACCTCATCTCTACAGTAAATCCAAAAAATTAGCCGGGCATGGTAGCGCGCCCCTGTAGTTCCAGCTACTTGGAAGGCTGAGGCAGAAGGATTGCCAGAGCCCAACAGGTCGAGACTGCGGTGGCTGGGAGCGGCCACTGCACTCCAGTCTGGGCGACTGAGTAAGACTCCAACTCAAAATAAATAAATAAATAAAGATCTCAATAAGAGTTTATTTTTTAAATGTAAGTTAAACAGATATAAGCAGATGTAATCTTCTTGTCAAAGGGTAAAATAGTTTGACAGCATAGCATTAGAAATATAGAGGAGAACACCAGGAGAAATGGATAACAAAAGAATTGAAAATGTTTTTCTTTGGTGGGTAGAGAAGGATGACATAGAAGACTGCTGTATTTTATTATCTTTTAAATAATATTTGTCTCTTTAAGCTATGTGCATGCTTTACTTTGATTAAATAAAAACAGTATAAAATAAAACATTTTTATAAACAGAATGTGAATATCATTTGAGGATTATGTAAATAGCATATCAGCATATCGTAAAATATAATAGTGTAATTACATATTCTAATGTTCAGTTTATATAGTTATTCAGTTTCAGAACTTTGTGATTGGATTTGTGGTTGTGCCTTTGAACTATATTTGTTTCCAAGCATATGCCTCTCTTTTTCTTCCCTTTGTTATTTATGTATCATAAGTAATATTAACTCGGGAAGGACTGTCTTCCTATGTTGCTGCCCATAGAACCTTGCACGGTATCTTACCCACAGGAAACTCTCAGAATATGATTGATAAATAACTTTACTGCGTTTTTAAAGCTTTTTTAAAATTATACAAATAATACATGCTCATTATGGAAAAAAAAATAGAAAATGCAGGGAAGTAAACAAAAAAAGAAATATCTCCTGAAAACTCATCTTACCATTTTGGTAACATCCCTCCAAATGTTTTTCTATGCAATATATGCATACAAATAAATGTAAGACAAGATTATCATATACACACTGTTTTGTAACCAGCTTTATATACTGAACATGTTATGAATATCTTTTTGTGCCAAATATTCATTGTGTTTGTTTTTAACAATTGCCTAATCTTCCACTTATGCAGATGTGCCATGGTTGATTTAACCAGTCCTTTATTAGAAAATGTTTAAGTCTTCTGTTCTTTTTCTTTAATTATTAGCACGTTGCTTTAAGCATCCTGTAGCATAGTTTTGCACTTATTTGAATATTTTCTTAGGATAAAGTAGAATTTCTAGGTCCACCCATAAATACTGTTAAGGCTCTATTACGTTGCCAACTTGTCCTCCAGCAATGTTAGTTCAATCCCAATTCACAGAGAGGAGGTGTCTAATTCTACTCCCCTACTAACTGATGAGCAAAAACAGACTTCCTTGTAGGGTTCATTGATATGTCTTTAAATAAATAATAGTGGACTGTTAGCTGGTCTTGGTAGTGCGTGCCTGTACTTCGGCTACTTGGAAGGCTGAGGCGGAAGGATCGCCGGAGCCCAGCAGGTCGAGGCTGCGGTGGCCAGGAGCGTGCCACTGCACTCCAGTCTGGGCAACAGAGTGAGACTCCAACCCAAAAATAATAATAATAGTGGACTGAACCTTTAAAATATAGATATATACATACATATTTGGCCATTCATGTCTTTTGGTTATTATTTAAATTCATAAGAAAATATGCAGAATTCTTATATTAAGGATATATGGGATGGATTTAGAGTCTCTCATAGTGATCTATCACAGAAACAAAGAACAGAGTACCATATGTTCTCACTCATAACCAGACCTTGAACAATTATCATAATACTATCAGAAAGGGATTGGCAGTAGCGGGAAACTGCCAGGGGAGGGAGGGGCACACCTCATCAACAAGGGTACCTGCATAATGAACATTTGTATGCCTAATGCTGAATTGTACCCCACATCTTTAAAATTTAAAAAAAAAAATTTTAAAGGATGTATGGCCAGGCATGGTGGCTTACACCAGTAATCCCAGCCCTTTGGGAGACAGAGGCGAGAGGATTGCCTGAGCCCAGGGGCTCAAGACCAGCCTAGGCAACTTGGCAAGAACCCCTACTCTACAATAAATTAAAAAATTAGCCAGGTGTGGCATGCATGTGGTTCCAGCTACTTGGAAGCCTGAGGTGGGAGGATCATCTGAGCCCAACAAGTTGAGGCTGTGGTGACTGTGAACATGCTACTGCACTACAGCCTGGGTGGCAAAATGAGAGTCTGACTTTTTAAAAAAAAGGAGCCAGGCTCGGTGACCCAGCCTGTAATCCCGCGCTTTGGGAGGCTTAGGTGAGTGGATTGCCTGAGCCTGTGGGTTCGAGACCCGCCTGGGCAACTTGGCAAAACCTCATCTTCACAATAAATCAAAAAATTAGCCGGGCTTGGTAGTGCGCACCTGTAGTTCCAGCTACTTGCAAGGCTGAGGCGGAAGGATCGCCAGACCCCAGCAGGTCGAGGCTGCGGTGGCCGGGAGCATGCCACTGTACTCCAGTCTGGGCGACAGAGTAAGACTCCAACTCAAAAAACAAAACAAAACAAAAAAAGGATGTATGATTTAACTGTCTCATATTACAAGTATTTTTCCAGTTTGTCATTTTTTTCTCTTTCATTTTCTTTTCAGTGTTTCTTCTCATTATATACAGTTCTCTTTTTCAATTTTTTTGTGTTCAAAACTGTCAACCATTTAACAAAATGTTTGCCCCAGCAATCATGCTTCAAAAGTCAGTTCCTTACCCAAGACCATATGCCTGGAATAAATTGGTTTTCAGAATTTGGTGGGGTGACTGCCTCTCAAATGTCTTCCTTTTTCCCATCAGGAAAGCAATTGAGGAACTGCTTAAGGAGGCAAAACGTGGGAAAACTAGAGCAGAAACGATGGGACCCATGGGCTGGTAAGTTCTGGAGTAACCGTCCCTAACACTTAAAAAAACATTACAGAGAAAAGTCTAAGCAGGAGATGTAAGCGTGTGACTCTTTAGTGCAGAGAGGAAGTGTGAAGCCAGCAATGTAGCGGAAACCACCTCTGCAGTGTGGAGTGAGGCCCCCTGTGAGAACCGGATGCGGGGGGCCTGCACAGGATGAAGAGGAGGGCATTGTGTATGTGTGGAGGGCAGGGGCGGGGTTTCTCATCCCTTGGGCTCAGACTTCCCCACGAGACGTGCAGATACTACTATGCCCAAAGGCACCTGTGTAAGAACCATATCATATTAGTGTTCACCAGTTGAGAATTTGTTTTAATTGAAGTCCTTAGTAAGTTAAAATTAAAAAAAAATAATGTTAGGGCTAAACATAGTAGCTCGTGCCTGTAATATCAGTGCTTTGGAAGGCCAAGGTGTGGGGAATCTCTTGAAGCCAAGAGTTCAAGACCAGTCTGGGCAACATAGTGAGCCACTGTTTCAAAAAATAAAAAATATTAATTTTAACTGTATTTTGATTATGGTGATAGCTCAGCCATGTAGAACTTAAATTTACCTTTGCAGTTTCTATACAAAATTGGGCTTGTTAAAGCTTAATACTATACATAAAGGAAGAATTTAACCGTAAGAATTAATTCTACTCTTTCAGCTACCATTTTAGCAATAACATTTGCATTCAATAAACAAGCTGATTTGGGATCTTTTATCTGCAGTTAAAATGTCTCTAAGGTGGAATACCATGGGTCATTAGAAAGAGTAAAATGTAAAAATAGGATGAGAGTGGAAACCAGACTTCTGAATAGATCTTGTCTTGTATGATTTTAGAATCATGCATATGGTTTACATAAAATATAAAACAAAATTAAGTCAAAATAGAGGGGGGAAAGTAATTCCTAAAAATCAAGCAAAATACAGCAAATGGACCTAAATAAGCCATTGAGTGGATGGCTTAGCCACACGAAAAGAAACTATCTCAAGCGACCTGAACTTTTATTATATTTTCAAAAAAGTCAACATATTATTAGCAGTAATATTGGTAATGCTATTCTCAAAATGTAATAAAGTAGAATAAAATAAATACATATTTTCTATATATAAATGCCAATATTTTCAGTGTAAAAGAGACACATACAAAATCAAAGAAGTAAAACTTACCTGTAATCTTAAATTTGAATTGGAAATACTGGTATGAAGTTCTGCTAGGTTTCTTAAAAAGAATATGTGAGAAAAGCTTTTTCTATCCCTGTTCACAGGAAAGTTTTAGAAACAAAGATGAGCTACCAGTAGCAGTGAGCACCCCTGGTACCCAGATTATTATGTAAATACCATTTCTCACTGAAAGGAGGCAGGGATCTTTAAGACAACAACTGAAGCAGTGCCCAGAGTTAGCTAAACTGCAAGGTTAGAAGAGGTCACAGCACCCAAAACTAGCCTCACTTTTCACATCAACTGCAAGTTCAGGAGGCTCTCCAAACTACCACCCTCAGTTTCAATAACTCACTGGAAGAACTCACACAATTCACTAAAATTGATTATACTCATAGTTACAGTTTATTACAGGGAAAGTATATGATTTATTATACAGGGAAGGCCACTGTAAGATACACGAAAGGGCAGAGTGTGGAAAGGTTCCCAGTGCAAAGTCTCTGTTGTCCTCTGCCCCTAGGAAGTCAAGACAGGCCACCCTCTCAACATCAGTGTGTGACAGTATGCATAGACTATTGCCACCCAGGGAAGTTCATTCGAGCCTCAGTGTTCAGAGTTTTTACTCGGGCTCCATTACCTAGGTTGACTGACTGATTTATTATGTAGTTGATATCAGTTTCCATGTTGAGTGATGCCATGGAACCCAAAGCTGTCACCTTAAATCACATACTTGGCCAGCTCCCATGCCAAGATTCTTAGGTATGGCCAGCTCCACCCTTAATAAAGACATGTCTATCAGGTATGACGTATGACATAGTTGCCTTCCAGAAGCTGAGGACAAAGACCAGTTGTCTTTGAGCAAGGCCAAACTTTTTACTACATGAGCAGGAAATGTATAAGCTGGAAAATCTTATCACACCTGAAAGCAAAGAAACTGTTAAAGACTAATGTCATGTCAGAACGACTTGGGATCCAACTTGAAAGACCTCTCATTAGTCAAAGATGGAATACTTTGATCATTAAAAAAACTAGAGTAATTGAACACCTAAAATATGTTAAAATCCATAACGTCATCATGATAATCACAATGACAGACCTAGTATTCCTTCTGGGGGAAAACTGGTAAGTAGAGAGGAAGAATTAAACATTCATCTTGTTTCCTGTATAAATTATACCTTAAGGTACCAAATAATTGATGAAAGAAAATGTAATGGAAGAATTGCAACTAATAAATGTAGAAGAATTGTAGAATAAGATTGTCATCATTTGAATTCTTAAAAACTCAGTAATAAGAAGGTAAACAATCCAATGTAAAATGGACAAAAAAATTAAATAGATACTTCACCAAAGATGATATAGGATTGGTCAATAAGCATTTGAAAAGATGTCCAAATAATTAGTTATTAGGAAAATACAAATTAAAATTAATTACTACTACATATGTACTAGATCGGTAAAATTAAAAAATAAACTGACTATACCAAAAAAAGATAAGGATTTGGAGCAACTAAAATTCACATATTCTTAGTAGAAATGTGAAATAATACATCCAGTTTGAAACGTAGTTGGCAGTTTCTTATAAATATGCACTCACTGTTATAGAATATAGAATCTTCCTTTTAGAAATTACCAAAGAGAATTGAAAACTTAAATCCATACAAAAATCTGTACAGTAAGGCTCATAGCGGCTTTATTCATAATATCCCCAAACTGGAAATAGCCCAGATGCCCATGAACTGATGAATGAATAAGTAAATTGTGGTTATATCCATAAATGCAATACTGCTTAACAGTAAAAAGAAGCAGAACTACTGATATTCACTGCATCGACGAATCTCAAAAGTTTTATATGCTATGTGAAAGAAGCCAGACACAAAACGTTACATGGTACATGATTCCATTTATATGGCATTCTAGAAAAGCCAAGACAATAGGAACAGAAAATAGACTATCAATTGCCAGGAGCTGGAGGTATGAGAAGAGATTTACTGCAGAACGTTCTGAGTAATGGAATGTCTTATGTCTTGATTGTAGTGATGATTACCTGATATGATACATTCATCAAAACCCATAGAACTGTTCACTTGAAAGGATACATTTTATTTTATGTAAATTATACTCTGTAAACCTGATTTTTAAAAAATATGTCATTGTATAATTCCTAATGATAGATTGGATCCAGACAAAAGTCATTAATGGCCTCTGAATCTGTCAGGTGATAAGTTGACGGGTAACTTTCTGATGAAAGAGTCAGGTTGACAACACCTGAACACATTGATCAAGGTTTACACCACAAAAAGATACGATACAAAGAGCAGACCACCACCTATGAGGCATCCTTCTCAAAAAAATTGAATCTGAATCTGATCAAGTCTCTATTTAGAACTACTAGTCTACCAGGAGCATAGAGGACAGAGGAACAAATTAAATGACACCGTAAGGCTGTAATCACAAAAATCCAAAGTGTGGGGAAGTCTTTAGGACAGATAACCCAGTTTCCTTAACAAATGAATTACAAGGAAAAAAGAATTAGGAATATACTGTGAATTAATAGATTTGAGGCATATCATATAAAATGTATGCTTTGTTTGGATCTTTATCCAGACTAACTGTAAAAAGGCATTTATAAAACAATTGAGGGTATTTGATGGGTGATACTAAGGAACTGATACTGACTTTTTTTAAGATGTGATAATGGTATTGGCGTTATTAGTTTTTAAAAGCCATTGCCTTTCAAAGCTTTATTCTAATGTATTTGTGGGCAAAATTATAAAATGAAATAATCCAATGTGAGTGAGTCATTCTGTATGTCACATATATAATCATCTTAGATTCAGTAAAATACTTACCTCCTGGGAAGATGGTTGTGAAAATTTGGAGAGATGTGTGTGAAAACACCCAGCACAGTTCCTGGAATGCAGCAATTAGTAATATTAGGTAAATCTGTTCTTATCTTCGTTCCAGCCCTCCTCTGTCCTTCAGAGAAATAAGGTGCATCTTCTAATGTGAATCAGATTAGGAAAAACTTTGTTGGTGGCAGGGTGCTTTGGTTTCGGGTGTAAGGTGGAACCTTCCTTGGGCTGACAGCAGTCTTTGACCCAATCTAATACTTATGTGAGGGAATCAGCATAGAGATAAATCATGCATTTGTCAAGTGAATAAGAAAATATCAGTCATGGTCCTTGCTATATAAGCAGCATTCAAGAGGATGCAGTAGTTCCAGGCAGCTCCCCAGATGGAAGTCATTTTTCCTGACAACCTTAGTGCTAAACCACTTACTGGCTTAGTAGGACTTTCTGATAGTAAAAGAACGAGTATATCAATGTTAGCTCTGCTTCCCTGGGGAATGTTACCACATGTACCAGGCTGACTTGACATTTGTGGGAGGAGGGGTGTTGATATATTCCTTGGGTATCACACCAGTTAGGTTGGCAGTTCCAGAGTCACTGGAGACCCAGACTCCTTTCAGTTTTCCAAATCTCCCAACCATAGGGTGTCTTCTCTACGTGGTCTAATATAGCAGCAGATATTAAATCCACATTCCACTTGGCAGAAAGGAAGAAGAGAAGGCAGGTATGCCCCTTTCCTTTAAGAACACTTGCTGGGGCCAGGAGTGGTGGCTCACACCTGTAAACCCAGCACTTTGTGAGGCAAAGGTGAAAGGATTGGCTGAGCTCAGGGGTTTGAGACCAGCCTGAACAACAAGGTGAGACCCCGACTATACAATAAATCAAAAGACTTAGCCAGGCGTGGTGGCGCATGCCTGTGGTTCCAGCTCCATGGAAGACTGAGGCAGAAGGATCACCTGAGCCCAGAAGGTCGAGGTTGCA